TCCTCCTCCTCCTCCTCCCCCCTCCTCCTCCTTCTCCTCATCCTCCTCGTCCTCATTATCTGTCTAGTCGGGATCTGGCGGCCACGAGGGGGAAGAGGCATGAGGGGCGGCAGGGGGATTCTCCTCACTTCTTCCTCTGCCCACCCTCCACCATGCATCCTCCTTTAAGGTGTGCTCTCCATCGCTCTCCTACCCCGTGGTATCATCAACTCCTCACCCCTCCTGAGCTCGAGGTCCCAACTCGTCCCCCCACGTCCTCCTCCGCCCTCCTCCGTGATCCCCCATCCCTCCTACTCTTCGCCTTCTTGCTCCCACTCCTCGACCCCCCGCCCGCCCCATTTCTGCAATTCTTGCAAGCTCGCACTTCCGTGCGTAACCATTCGTCTCAAGACTCTTGGGATCGGACCTGCCGTGGGGAGGCAGGCTCGCGATGGCCGCTTGCGAGCGGCGGGTTTTAGTTCGAGAGCTGACGCGATGCTGGGCGTACCACATCAAGTTGGCCGATGAGCTTGATTATTGCGGCGACGAGGAGGTCATGACCGCGAAGGTCAAGAAGTCCTTCCTCGTTCGGTACAGGGACCTCCTGACGGAGACGCGGCAGATCGCGAAGTCTGTGGATAAGACTGTCGCTCAGGAGGCCCTCGTCGGAGTGGCGACACGCAACGAAGCTGCGTGGCACCTGGCTGCAGGGAAAAAGCAGTGGTCGATCTTCACTGCGCGGCAGCTCAGGGCGATGTTGAGGCACGTGTCCCAGGCTGTCATCAAGACTCCCAGGGATGAAAATTTAGTTACCTCATAAGAAGATAGGCCCTTGTGGGCCGCCAGGTGTCACGCATCTTTGCTTCGCAAATCGCCGGGAGAGTTGCTTGGGCCAGTCCTTTCGCGAGCGACGAGGGCGAGCCAGACATGGTCGACGAGGGCGCAGACGATGAGGGGACTGGCGAGCGCCCCGAGCCTGTCGCGCTCAAGAGGCCCGCGGCCGCGCCCGCCAGCGCGGAGATGGCGGCTCCAGCAGGCTCATCCGGCAAGCGGCGCCGCGGCAGCGCCATGCAGCTCAAGGTCATCGAGGTTCGGGACGGGTGGAACTTCGGGTGGGCTCCAACGATGATGGCACTGCGTCCTAATACCCACTCCTTTTCAGCAGTTCTGAGGCTTGCGTCGGCGATCTGGTTTCCAGGGGATTGGTGGCGCGTCTCTTTCAGATCGACTGGGATGAAACTCCAACGCAAAATCCAATGCATTGGAAAATGCGCTGGAATTTCGTCTCAGTCGATCTTGAGGCGACGCCGCGCTAGCCCCAAGGATCACAGTTCGCCAACGCCCGAGCTTTGATGGAGTTTACCCGCAGTTCGCCCTGCCCAGGCAGCCTGGAGATGCCGCGTGGACGCCGACGCCCAGATTCCCGAGCACGCCAGGGGGGAGAAGGTGGATGGCAAGGAGACGCTGGTGGCGACTTGGCCCGACGGAGTATCATGGGAAGTTCCAGGGACCTCTCCCGCTGATGTCGGCGACGAGAA